TATTGGTTGCTTGGTGTTGTGTTCTGGGATCTCTGCTATCTCCAATGGATTGGGTTTTGTGTGATGAGGACCCTGCTATCTCCAATGCAAAGTTTTGTGATGTCATACTCTTGCGGCCAGACAAGTGTACTGGCGCCTGGTGGGCCAATAACCTTTTTGGCTGACCGTAGTCTCTTGCGAATGGCTTCAATGAGGCTTCGATCTTCGGTTGACTGTACGTAGGTTGTGGTGTTGCTGCTGAGAAGCCTCGATTTCCAGGTTCAATTCATTCAAGCCGTCTACACTCTGATCTCATCATCATCTGGGCCTGAGCGGTCAGTTGTCGGGAGATACTCACCACGTAGCGTCTCCTCGCAGGTTCTCGGGGCGGGCTTCGGGCTTAATGAGGCTTCATTGGGAGGACCTGAAACCGGCAGGAAGTGATCAGGTCTTTTCGGGGGAAAGAATGAGCGGATCGACATCTGAAGTGGTCGTTCGGGGGGCCGCTAAAGTAACCCAGGTCGCTCAGCACGTCAAGAAAATGAGGTTCGGGTACTTGTTTGATGAAAGCTGGAAGGCGCTGACACTCATTCTGCGTCTCTTGCCTAGTTGCATGCCGCAATGCGGTTTGCTAGCATCAAAGGCAACTGCTCCGCAGCGTAGGTCCCGAACTTCCCCTCCAACAAAGCGCCCCGCAAATTCCTCGAAGAAACACCGCTCTGGAGTCGCCAGCCAAAACCTACACGGACGGGGTCCCATTCCTGAAAGAACCCCGCTAAGGCGCGTAACCCCCAAGTCACAGTTTTTGCCTCCCGCTTGGCTACCAAGTCACAGTGGGCTCCCAATTTGCCTCCTATTCTTACGCCAACTTGTGCGAAATGCTAGAACCGCTACTCAGCTTACAAAGCCAGGGAAGCTTTCTAGGAAATGTCTGCGGCACATCTCACAGCTGATCCTGAACCATGCTGCTGTCGCCACCATCCTTGGCGTCACCAAGTGACCAACACTCCATCACACAAGATTGCAGCAAATGGAGAAGCAGAAGCTTGGATGTGCTGTACATCTCGCAGCTGATCCTGTACAGCACTGCTGTCGCCTCCACAGGCCGCATCACCCCAGGTGACCACTGATCCATCACCCAGGATTGCAGCAAATGCCCCATCGGAAGCTTGGATCTGCTGCACATTCTTCAGCTGCTCCTGTACAGCACTGCAGTCGCCACCACAGTCAGCATCACCCCAGGTGACCACAGATCCATCACCTAGGATTGCAGCGAATGCCCCATCAGAAGCCTGGATCTGCTGCACATCTCGCCGCAGCTGACCCTGCACTGCACTGCTGTCGCCACCACAGGCGACTTCACCCCAGGTGACCACAGATCCGTCACCCAGTATTGCAGCAAAGGCCTCAGTACCGGATTGGATCTGCCGCACATCTCGCAGCTGATCGTGCACCGCACTGCTGTCGCCACCATATTCGTCATTACCCCAGGTGACCACAGATCCATCACCCAGGATTGCAGCGAATGCGCATTTAGAAGCTTGGATCTGCTGCACATCTCGCAGCTGAATCTGTACGGCACTGCTGTCGCCACCGTGGACGGCGTTGCTCCAAGTGACCACGGATCCATTACCAAGGATTGCAGCAAACGCCGCAACAGAAGCTTGGATCTGCCTCACATCCCGCAGCTGCGCCTGTACTGCACTGCTATCGCCACCATAATCGGCATAACCCCACGTGACGACAGATCCATCGCCCAGGATTGCAGCGAATGCCCAGTCGGAAGCTTGGATGTGCTGTACATCTCGCAGCTGATCCTGTACGGCACTGCTGTCTCCACCACGGTCGGCATGCCCCCAGGTTACCACAGATCCATCGCCCATGATTGCAGCAAATGCCCAGTTAGAAGCTTGGATCTGCTGCACATCCCGCAGCCGTTCCTGCACAGCACTGCAGTCGCCACCACAGTCAGCATCACCCCAGGTGACCACAGATCCATCGCCCAGGATTGCAGCAAATGCAGAAGCAGAAGCTTGGATGTGCTGTACATCTCGCAGCTGATCCTGCACAGCACAGCTGTCGCCTCCACAGGCGGCATCACCCCAGGTGACCACTGATCCATCACCCAGGAGTGCGGCGAATGCAGATAATTCATGGCGGCTACCACATCTGTTGGCTATAAGCTGGACTTGAATCACATGCAGGGTGAGCACGTCTCCGTTCATCAACTTCGCTTCTTTGACAGTTTTTGCTCCGTCCAGCACCTCGCCAGAAGAATTCAGCAGCCGTGCCCTGCTCAGGACTGCCAAGGCGCGCCGGGCTCTCTGCTTCAATGACTCAACAGGTGCATCCGCCTCCACTTCAACAGAAGCACATTTGCCACTCAGTAGATGCACATCCACAGAAATCGACATTGCAGCGTAAAGGCTTGCAAGACGCAGGATGACAACAGCTGGTAGTAGTGGTAGTGGTAGTGGTAGTGGTAGTGGTGGTAGTAGTAGTAGTAGTAGTAGTAGTAGTAGTAGTACGTAGTAGTACGTAGTAGTACGTAGTCGTACGTAGTAGTACGTAGTAGTACGTAGTAGTACGTAGTAGTACGTAGTAGTACGTAGTAGTACGTAGTAGTACGTAGTAGTAGTAGTAGTAGTAGTAGTAGTAGTAGCAGTAGTAGTAGTAGTAGTAGTAGTAGTAGTCAACAAAACGGAAAATAGTAGAGTGGTAATACAGTAGTAGGACAGCAGCAGTAGTGCAGCAGTAGGAATAGTGTTGTGATAACACATACAGCATATATATATATATATAATAGTACACTGGCCCTTGCAGTACAGCGGTAGTACGGAAGAAGGGTTTAGAGGTACCGAGAGCGGTGTAGGAGGGTTTTGGGGCCCAAACCCTCGAAACCAAACCCCGATCATTCCAAGATAACAGCCAGGAGTTAGAGCTCTTGCTTTGGAAGACTTTTATTCATCCTCGGCTCCCCCCCAGAATCGATCAAGCCTGAGGCTTGGTAAAGTAGTACGGTAGCTGTACAGTAAGGGGCTTTGGGGGGCCGCTTAACCTCGAAACCAAACCCCGATCACTCCAAGATAAGCTCCGGCTTCTCAGTTCAAATTGACACTTCAGCTGAAAGAACCATGCAAAAAGCATCCGTGCGATTTTTTGCGCATTATAGAGGACGGCCAAGAATATGCAAAAGATAGAATAAGCACCGGAAAGACATGCATTAAAGATGGTCACTTATTTAAACACAGTGCCACATCAATTTTGCACGGTCCTAGAAAGGCCACAGGGATGTGGAGGTCTGAAGAATTCGCAATACTAGCAGTACTCTTCTTAACTATAGCCCTGCCAAGCGGTACCGTACTGAATTCCAATTCAGCCCCCTACTACAACATGCCCAAACCTCACTGATACGCAAACGAGCTTCCACACTCGAAACTTTCTCGGGAATCGAATCGGCGGTCTGCTGGCTTGGAAACTTCGCGTGTAAAGCGGCCTCACTGTGTGGAGCTTACTGGTCTGGGCTTTGTCCCCTCTCTGGGTTTTGGGGTTCAGGGTTTTGGGGGGACTGGAGCTTCGAGCATGGATTCGGCCGCGCTCACACTGGGACTCACCAGGCGCGGCATGGGTTCAGTAGGTAAAGCATGAGCTGGACACGGGGCCAATCAAAGACACGAAGCTCATTGCTTGATTTGGGGTCTTGTTTCCTCCCATTTTTGGATCCGACTTCGCAAGCACAAAGCCCGCATCGAAACTCTTTTTTTGTTTTGAGGCCTCTTTTCCATACCGCTTCAGGTCAGGAATACCATGCTGGTTGAGGTAGGATCAAGGAGTGTGGCACAACTCTCCAAGGGGATTCATCACCTAACTACCACTCTAGTCCCCACTCCTGCGCATCGACACTCTCGAGTTCAGGGTTGCGGACTTTCCACTCCTGCACGGCATCTGTGAGCCTATCGCCTGAAATCTTACAGCACCAATCAGTTGAATAACCCTGCGGAGCATCTCAGGTTTCCCAACAAGAAACACTGCCTCCAAAACTGAGTGCCATTCGAAGATGCAAGTGCTAGGGAAGTGGCTTCGAGCCTTTGCTCTTGCTCGGGGTCGCTGAGCTTTGGCAGTTCGGTGAGGGTGACCTTGTGGAAGGCTCTGCACATGTAGGTAGCTGAAAGTAAAAGGGCATAATCTTCCCAGCTTCATATCAGATTCATAGATGTATGTCTGTATGCATGAATGTGATCATACGGTATGTGCATGCATGCATGTGTACGTGTATGAATGTGTACATACACATGCGCGCACACACACACAGAGTGCGTACATATGCACAGTACATATGCACAGTACATACATACATACATACATACATACATACATACATACGTACATACGGACGTATATGCGTACATACTTGCATCTGGATGCTTTAAAGCGGGGCGAGAAGCTGCAAGTCTCTATCTATGTCTATCGGACCCGAGTTCCGAAGCTTGGCCCCAGCTCGGGGTCTCCCGTCTGAGAATGTTCTTTCTTGTTTATGGATCTTGTCCAAACTTGCAAAACACCTCTCACTCTCCCTCTACATATCTGTAATCTCATCCGTCTCGTCCATGTCGACACCTTTCTAAACCAGGACACGCCCTGACTCGCGGCCATGGTCGCGAACGGAAAGACGCATGTTTTCGTTCTTCTGTCCGCAACTATGTACAGCTTGAGTCCAAGGGTTGTGGGCAGCCGCAAAACCATAACCAATTGTCCGGGCATGCTGTTTGCAAATTTTGAATCTGCAATCCATCTGCTCGGACCCAATATGCCTTATTGGCACCGCAGAATGTCAGCCTAAAGCCACATCTGAATCTCGAACCACGTCTTCCGCTTCCGGTGAATCGCAGGTGTGACGATTTTCTTGGGGCCGCTGCAGTTCGAGCGGCGTTAGTGAAACCGACGACACAAGATCTGACAAACTCATCCAAGACCCTGATGACTGTGGAGCCCTGCTCCTGCATGGAGACCTCCTGGAGCTCTTAGAAGGGCTTTCTCGCAGACGTCCTGCGAAGAAGGCTGTGAAGCTCTTCGCTTGCCATCGTGTCGCAGGCATCGACGGCGGACGTGGCGGGCAAGCCAAGTCTAAATCTCATCATGTCGAGCTGCATGACTTCCTTGTTATCATTCGGCCTGTGCACGCGGATGGAGGGATTCCTAGTACGAGTGCTAGGACGACGACGACAACGACAACAAACAACAAACAACGGACAACAAACAACAAACACAACAAACATGGCAACCACCACCACCAATAACAACAACAACAACTACTATTGCTACCTACTACTACTACTACTACTACTGCCAGCACTACTACCTCTGCTCATACTACCCCCTACTACGAGCACTAGTACTACCAAGACCGCTAGTACCATTAGCACGGACCAGTACTAGTACGACTAGCACCAGCCCCACCACCACCGCCATGCCTACTAGCACAACTACCACCACTAATGCATTAGTATGCGATGGAACAGTGATGACTTGCTGCTTGGGAAAGCTTGGCCTGGAGATTCTTGGCCGCTTGGCCGACTCTGCGTCATGCGAACTCACCGCTTCGTAGCATCGATTGCGGAAGGCGGTGACAGCGTCCTTGTCCTGCGCGGCCATTAGGTACAAAATTTTGTCTTGTTTCCATGTAGCTTTCCTTGTGAGACTGAACCACTATTACATACGTGCTTGAACGATATCTGCCAAAGCAGCAAAATACTCACTAAATGCGGCCCGCTTTATTGTTGCGGCCTCCCCATCCTCGAAGCGCATCCAACATGCACGGGCTATAACCTGGCCATGCAGCTTGCCCGGACGCATGGATAAACCCCATGTGAGTGACCACGGGGCTGCCCTACCAAGAACAACATGTACTTTAGTATTCGCTCGCTCTCTCTCTCTCTCTCTCTCTCTCTCTCTCTCTCTCTCTTGGGCACCTTGCTTGCTTGCCAAATATAGGGGTGTGCATGCTCTCTCTTTGCTTTGCTCAGGGGCATGGGAGGCAGGCAGTTCCTACCTCCTGCTCGTCAGAGCCACCCCATGCACCATTTTGGTGGGATGGCTCCTCTTGCTTGCTTGCTTGCTTCCGAGCTACTAGTAGGGTGCCACTGCAGGTCCTGGCAGGGTTTTGAGACTCCTCAGCGGGGTTTCGCCCCGTAAGGCTCGGCTGCACACTCGGCCGGGCCACAGCTCCCCCGAAAAACCGCAACAACAGCAACCGACTTAGCCGAAAACGTAGCACTTAGCAGACTGCAAACATGCGCTGAGGGGCGAGCCGGGCCCAGTGCACTCCCCACAGCTGCTGCTACCACGACGGAGACCTGCCTCCCCTGACAATCCCCCGAAGACCAGGACCTGTCCCAAACTAAACTCCAGCGTCATCCCCCTACGAAGGCATGTCTGGTAAGGGCTCCCGATAAAGCAACAAAGGTACGGAGCAAATCACAATACTCCCTCACTGGGGGTGCACGCCGAAACACCGGTTAACGTACGATCCCCCGTCACACGGCATGGCATGTGGGTTGACAGCGTCAGGGAGGTATGGACTACCAACGCTCAGTAAGACGGTACAACCTGATGACGCGAAAAGTGTCAACAACAGGATCCAGAACATGTATCCCCCCTGACTCTCCTGGACGGTGCACGGCCGGCTACATACTACTACTCCTCTCTCCCCACGGAAGGGCCGCCAACCCTAAGCTAGCCAGCCGATGCCTTAAAGGGCAGGCAATGGCTCTTCCGCAGGTTGTTCGGAGCGACGTGTGACACTGCGCTACGGTCCCCCTTCCTCGGCAGGCTTCTCTCTCTCCCTCTACCAGCCCAGACGGAACTCTCTCTCTCTTTCTTTCGCGAGGGCTGGGGACAAGAGGGTTGCCCCCCTCGCTTCTTCCACACAGTCAAGAGAAGGGCACAGCGCCCCTCTCCGCGCGCGGGCGCGCACTGGTTGTTCGGTCGCAGTGTGAAAGCTATGCACGATGAGGGCCGAGGTCCCCGAGCAGCAACCCATAGAACTAATGTAAAACCCCCCGGCCTCATCCCCCCTCGCGCTCTCGCTCTGTCTTTCTCTCTGCCGCTGCATCCAGATGGTCCCACCGAGTGAGGCAGCATAACACCCGCCAGTTCAGAAGGCTTGAAACTACAGTGTCGCAAGCTGAGTCAGGAAGGATTTCATGCTTCCGGCCTCGGCAGCGTGGCGCGTGCCTGCCTTTGTGATGCAGGTCTGAAAATGCTGTCCTCTGAAGCGGAACGTCGCACGATTCCCGTCTTTCGCATCAAACCTGCCGGAGATTTCGAAACAGAACACGATCGGGTCACGGTGAGGGCTTGTCGGACAGCCATGTTGGCATTCGGATACCTAGCTGTAGACTTAACAGTCCTACCTGAATCTACCCCTCAAGCCTCAAGTCACGCCCTCAACCCACGCGAGGGGCCTCACTCGCTTATGCGCGATGTGTCCGGCAGGTGCATCAGCAGGGAGCAGTTCATACTTGTCCGCCATGGCCGCACTCGGATTCTGCATGCGCGGTGACGATATTCTGAGTAATTCAGAAAAAAATATGTCCACGCCCCTACTCAGCCCTTGCTTTTCCAGGAAAAGGCTCGCGACGATATGATATGTGCATATGCACAATATATTCATTTGTGCTTGTTTGTCGGTTCGTAGAACATTTGCCGACCCTGTGTCTGGCAATAGTTACACGCGGCACGTACAGCTGAAGAGGTCGGGCAAGTGAGCATTCAGGCAGACTTTGCCACAGGCACTGCTTGAGCAAAATCATCAGATCCTATGACATGCGCCATGCGCCGGACCTACAAACGAGACAGCCTTGCTCCGTCCGGTTCAGTCGCCCATGAGACGTGAGAACTTTGCTTCCCCATGGCAGAATGCAATTTCCACTCCCTAAACCCTTTCAGCAATCTATAAGCCATAAACTCCTAGCTCTTGGCCCCCAACCCTCACTCCGAGCCGAAAAAACAATGCATCTCAAAGCGAAGAATGCTTAAGAGAGTGTCTACCGCCCCTTGAGGTCTGAGGGAGCGGCATCATCCACTGCACTAAGCTTCGCCTCAGACACTTCAGGGCTTTCTGCGCTCGCGGGCAAGCCAGGCAAGGTTCGAAGAGACTTGAGACAGCCAGTCCATGAACAGGTGTTCAGTTATGGTAGATATCAAGACGAGTTGGTCCATCGCCCTTCATCACAAAGGCCAAAACTTAACAACCCAAAACTGGCCACGGTTGATGAAAACCTGGCAAAACATAAATGATATAAGCTAGCTGCAGGAGTCGATTTACAGCCCATCTGACGACCTGCCGCTCGCGTCATTTTCTCGACGTCGGTGCAGCAGCGCGCTGCAACTCCGCACTGTTTTCTTGCAGGCTCGCTAGAAACACAGGAGCCTGCACGGGTGCGTACGACGCTTCTGTTCTACCCCATCTTATCGTCTAGATCTGAATGGAAACTGCAAGCCTGTACAAACTGCAATGATGGTCGGAGTTAGGGAGTAAAGATGGAGAACCACGGCAGAAGCTCCCTGGACCTATGAGGACGTCGAGTACTACCGATTGCCTGTTGCTGTCCTCTGGTATGATTGGGTACGGTAAGAAAAGCAGGCAACTTCCAAGACAATGAACATGAATTCTTGAGAGTATGCCCGCAGAAGACAACTGCCTTTACATGTGGTCCTACTAAGAAGTTGCTAATAGTAAGTTGCTAAAAACATACATCCCTTCAATTTCGCTTCTTAGCTCGAGAAACCAAGGCCGGAGGCCCTCAGCGCTTCTTGCGCGTGCGACTCTGGCTCTGGCTGGCTTTCCGCTTCCTGCCGCGTGGAACGGGAGAGCACTTGGAGGATCATGGGACTTAGTAAGTCAGGTTATAAGTCCCCTAATTGGTGTTATAAGTATAGTTACCTTAGTTATAACCCTACTTACTAAGTCCCATGATCCTTTAGGCATGGAAGGACCGGTGGGGCTGCTACTGTAGGGGCTCAAGGTACTCGGCGCTGCGCACAGGCATGGTCGATATCTGGTCAAGGTTTATAGGACGTTAGCAGCTACAGCTCAACTACTGAAGTGAAGAGTGGGTTCCTGAGCTTAATAGAGGAGTGCTGGTCGAAAGCAATGCAATGATAACAGACGCCACGATGTCCAAGCGCTACTTGCATGCAATGCACCTTATGATAACCAAACGAAACTCCCTCATGTGCGAGTACGAAACACTGGCACTTGCCTGCTTCGGCTGCAGCTTGAGCTGCTCTCCCGCCGTTCGCGGCTCCTGTCACAAGAATCCCGTTCGGAAGGATCAGTCATTGTGGGAATGTGCCTTTAGACAAGCGATCGGCCCCTGTTGATGGCACAGCACTTGACACATTGTCGCATTGGGCTTCGTCGGTTTTGGCATCTCTCAGCGTGCACTCACATGATCGGAACAACGACCCTACATGCGACCTGTGCGCAAGACCTTGCGGCAAGCCCACAAAAGCTGACGCCTTTTTTGCATGGGAAACCACATTGTTTTGCATCAGGACTTGTCATCAGAAACCCCTTTTACATCCAGGACTCAGCCGGGAAACTCCACAAGACAGCGCCTAAACGGCCTAAACTGATGAAACCTCTAAACCCCAAAAACCTCAATCAAGGCAATCATAATTCGACACAAATCGGCTGCTGTGGGCTATGGGGCTCGCTGAGTGCCCATCGATTCGTCCTGGAAGCGTTTTTTGTCTGACAGATGCACACGATGCGTTCCGTATGTTGGCGACTTGGCCAGCCGTGTCGAGAGTGGTGGCTTCCAATGTATTCATGTATCGATGTTGCTGCCGTTCCACGCAGCAGCTCGCGCAGATGTAGCGGAATTTCGTTGCGTCATGATGCCTGTATGAAAACGTGCTCGACAGAAATGCCCATGCACGAGCGCTTGGAGGGATGTAAATCAGAGGGCTCAATCCAGCAATATAATCTCGATTCCAGAACAAAGTGTGATTGCAGTGCTAACATCCTGTTGTTGAAGATCCACAACCGGCTATCCCTGATCTGCCTTTCAGCCAAGTGTGAAAAGACCGTCGTTGGAGCAGCAGCTGGTTCTCCTTTTTTGCTTGTGCCCTTTTGTGCCCAAACCTTGTCTCCTACAAGTCGATCCGGGCAGCTGACGTTCCCGTCGCAGCCCCTCACACGGCGAGTTCTGTGTTGAGACCGACTTGCCAAAAAAGAGCAACGCGGGTGTGCCTCTGGGCGCCAGCAACTCCCATCGCCCACTCGGGCAACCCATACTCGACTGGAACAAATACCTCTAAACTAGCACTCTAAATTCCAAGCCCTACAGCATTGCACGAGCCTCTTCTTACGATCCTTGTCCTTCTCCTGGCTAGAGCTGGCTGGCATCAAATGTCTTCCGCAGCAGGAATGATCTTCCGACTAGGTCCTACACCTCGTGTCGACATTATCCCTGTCATTAGAACCAGTGACTCTCTGAAACTGCGATCTTGGTGCATCTATGTGCATCTTGCATCTTGTCAACACTGTCTGTGCACTGGCTGTGGAGTGCGGCAGTGTACACGGAACCGGAAGAATGGTTGTTCATGGGAGACTGGCAAGCCGAGGGGCCGAGACTTTGAGCAGCGACACGACTAGCTACGGCTATGCGGCAACGCCAGGCCGAAGCCCATGAAATACGCACTGACCGAAGCAGCACGAAGAAGCATCCAAACAAGTTCGTTTCGGTTCGATCATTAGAGCAGGTCTTCCGGCAAGAAAAACTGCCTCGTTGCATCACTTGAAAATACCAAACCTTGAATCGCAAACTGAAATGACCTCTGCCGCTGGAGATTCGCCGGCCTGGCCTGATCCTTGGGTTTGCTCTTTTCTTTCTCCTTCGTCTTCTCTTTGGCCTTCTCCTTCTCCTTGTCTTTATCCTTGTCCTTCTCCCTCTCCTTCGTCTGCGGCGCGGTCCGGACCTTCAGGACAGGGCTCCGGGACAATGCGAAACAGGTGACGTACAACGTGCTTGCTCTTTCTTTCTGATGGGCGAGGGAGGTTTCCTTTCCGCCCTGGCTCTCTCGCTCTCTTCTTTCATTGGGCATAGGGGACGAGTCAAGTCCCCTGGCCTAGTGGCCCCCCACGTGTTATGGGGTTGTTCTCTCTCTCTCTCTCTCATTTGCTTGCTGGCTGGCATCCCCTTCCCCTGCGCGCGAGCGCTACACCAGCGTCCGAGTTCGGCTTGGTCGGCGTGAACCAAATTCAAGTTGTGTGATCTCCGATTCCAGCGAGGCTCTCTTCTTCCACAGGGGGCATGGAGGATGTGCAAGATCCCCCGGCCACCACGGGCCCCCTATATGTTCTGGGGCTTTGAAGGGATTGTGAAAACAGCTTACGGTCCACATAGTTTTGTTAGAAAGTTGTACATTTCAATGTGCAGCAAGTATGTCCCCTGTAATTGTTGGACGCCTGCACGACTTGAGCTACATGTGTCTGCATCAGGGTATGCACGGACCGACTCCTTGGTTTGGGATTCGATGATTTTGCTTCGGGGCTTCGTTGGACTTGCCCGGCGCACGGCCGCTACGCAGCCATGCATGTGGCACCAGGCTTCAGCGATCTCACCTTGTCACGTGCTGCATCCTTTGGTGGCTTTGAGTCTTTCACGGCCTGGCCAGAGAAAAATGACCCGAGAGAGCAGCATGACTGTATGCAGCAGAAACAGTGGTAAAGCGCCGGCTGCTGCTGCAAGACAAACAATGCAGACGGCGAATACCCCAGTACAGACACCGATGATTACGCGGATAGAACCGATGAAAAAAGCCTCAAACTCAGGCATGCGGAAGCCTTGGCCTCTTTGCCATCTTTGGACTTGGAGTCTTTGGCATCCTTTTCCCTCCCTGACTTGCTATCCTTTGCATTCAATGCTCGTCGGGAGGAAGGCCGTAGACTGCAGGGTGGTTCGGTTATTGCGGTGCTCCATGATGCGATCCGCAAGCACGTTCTGCCCCAAAACACCATTCCAGGGCCAAGAAGGCTTTGGAACATGAGGTGTGCATGTGAGAACCAGCTGGCTGCAGGGACAGGAGACGCCTTTTTTTTGTGGTTTCTCGAAACAGGGTCACATAAAGAACACCCCCGAGTCAAACCACACGCCTGCCCGGCCTGCTTGCCATCCTTGCCTTCCTTGGGGCCCTCCTCTTTGGCAGCCGCTTGAGGCTGCGATGTGGTTGCCTCCTGGTCTGACATGGAAACTCCACTCAATGTCTTCCCGCCCATCATCACGGTAAGGCCAGATAAAAGAAATAAAGCACCACCGACGGTAAACATCAGCGACAAGCAGGGTAGTTCCAGCATCTGCCTACGTCCAGCGTCACTTAGACCCAAACGCCGCGTGCGAGCCTTTGCCGCTGTGATTGCATGTGTTGGTCAGATTCTGTTCTCGAGCCTTCTCGGCAGCCTTCTGAGGCTTCCCATTGAAAGATGAACGCTGTGATTTCTATTGCTCGGGACTGAGAATTTTGACCAAAAAGATGGTGGCTGTTGGGGTGATCGGTTCTCATTGTTGGTATTGCTAACCCTTTGGCTTAAAGCTTGCATGTTATCCCCATCCCCTTGAGAATCAAACGCCGGGTTTCGACGGACAAGATTTGATGATGATAGTGTCAGGGGCTTGCGTGCTCGAACACTGCGAGAAAAAACTAGGCTTGGCTGTGTGGTGGGACGGGACATTTACGTGGCTTGACACCGGTTTTGGTGTTTACACAAACAGCCCACTTCGGATCGCCAGGCTCAGCACTGAATCCAGCCTCCTGAACCTGCACATCTGCTGCTTCGGCTAGTGACTCCTCTCCCTCGTCTGGGCCTTGTCTTTGCTGGCTGGCAGGGACTCCGAGGCACCTGGGGAGGTTGAAGTCAGAGACAGCCAGCTCGGGCCGAACAGCAAATGAAGCAAATGAACCATGACGCTGTCTGACGCTCGGTGGACCTGTGCAATATTTCAACCTTGCCTGCAGCTGCCGCTTCGACGGATTTCTGCCGCAGCGAGAAGGACTCCTTTGGAATCAGAGCATCTGCGTCTGAACTGCTGTGTCGATTCGTGTGGTCGACGGGAACTGGGTTCTTATAGATTCCGGCATCTCTGGTGTCAGCCATGGTCCATTGCGCAGCTCGGGCAGCTACGAGTACGTAGGGTGTTTTAACTCCTTTCTTGTGCTCATAGACACTCTCCATAGGGTGACATGGCTCCCTAAACCATTGTTTGAACGAGGTCTCTCTGGAGGCCCTAAACCGTACACCCATAAGACATGGCTCCTCGTGTGCGGCTGCCTCAAGCAGCTCCATCCGGCGGCGGTCGCATTTCATCTGCACCACCTACCGGCCAGTTGCAACCGTAGTCCCGGAAAGCATATTTTGGGCTCCTTAATGCTGCAGCTACAGTAAGGAACCCTAAGAACTAATGTTCGTAATAATTAGAAGTCAAGTGGTCATGAGGTTTGCCACCGCTGGCGGTTTTCGACTCTCAAACTCGCACAAGACAGGCAAGGCTCGTGACATGTCGGGTCACTCATCACTACAAAGTCGTTACAGCAGAAATGGGAGTACTGCACAATGACAAACCCACACTCTCCAATAGGACCTTCTGGAGCTTAGTAAATGGCAGCACACACGAAGCACGAGGGAGCGACGTCTAACTGCTCCTCCTCGAGACAATGTTTCCATGCAAAGGCTCTGCTAGCACTAAGCCTGGCTCTGCGCCCGAGTTCAATGATGTTTTGTCACGACATGCTTGAAAGTGCTCGAACGGTGCACTCATCAGGTTCTTTCTTGCTCTACCTTCTTGTGGAGCTATTTTACGAGGTGGTGTCTTTACGATCGCCGCCTCATCCAAAACTGTCACAAGCTAAAATGTCGTGGTGGTGGTGGTGGTGGTGGTGGTGGTGGTGGCGGTGGTGGTGTTGATGAAGAAGTGTGCAAATGAGCAGTACTATGATTACGTCCACTACGCAACGAGCTAAAATGTGGTGGTGATGGTGGTGTTGATGAAGGTGGAACTGAGCAGTTTCATGATTACGACCACTACGTAACCAGCTAAAATGCGGTGGTGATGGTGGTGTTGATGAAGAAGGTGCAAATGAGCAGTTTTATGATTACGACCACTACGTAACAAGCTAAAATGTGGTGGTGATGGTGGTGTTGATGAAGAAGGTGCAAATGAGCAGTTTTATGATTTCGGCCACTACGTATCCTTCTTACTGTTTTGATTATTACTCCGATTGTGATTGCGTTGATGGTGGTGTGGGATGGTGTGGGAGCTGGTGGCAGCGGCGTCTGTGAGCAGCTGCTGCTGCCGACGTTAATAACCAAGGCGACGCGTGCGTGCACTTGCCCGTCTCAATCTCGGTGTACTGCATTCGATACAGAGGTGCAACCTCCGGCTCGTAGCGCTGCTTCTCCAGCTGCTGGCGGAAGCGCTCCACCTCTGCCTGACCATGAACTTGCACTCTTCGCAACAAGCCGTGTCTGGGCCTACGCTGAAAACTAGTTCCAGGCTCGAACACGAACCTCGGACTCTGGGGACGGAATAAACGGATAAGCCTGGGTGATAGGTGATAAAGATACCCAAATCAAAGCAACAGTCCCGAGATCCGACTCGAACGACGGCAGGCCTCAACTTGCCGAAGCTTCTCGCGCCGGAGCTCTTCCGGCGACTTTTGCTTCTCGGGTTTTGACGTCTCTTCCTTCTGAACCTGTGCAGCAGGGCTGCGTGGATCTATGTTATGAGAGCACCCAATGGGGTTTTGAGACCGAATGCTCACGGGAGGCAGAAGGCCCACAAGCCCAGGACTTATAACTTATGACCTTCAGCGACTTTACGTATGGCTGAAAGTAGGGGCTCTACATCGCTACTGGTATCCTCATAGACAGTATGGGACATCCCGATGCGACTCCGAGAAGAGAATTACAGGCACTTCTCGCAAGCCCTCAGCACCGGGACGGTGCGCAGAAGTTGCCAGAGAAGTTTTTCGAGAGTGCAATGATGCGCAATCGATTCTGATGGTGCCTTGGTGCAACGGTTAGAACAGGGTTTTGAAGAAGACTGCGGTCTCATTGTTTTGGGACGCTGCAAGGATTCGAGCAAGCGCTTTAAGGTACCGGTTGCCCAGCTGATTGCTCAGGCATTGCATGATCTGCGGCGAAAAACTCGCTTGTGAAGGCAGCGTCCGTGGTCTCGCCAACGGCACCAAACAGCCATGGGTCGCGTCAGTGGCAGCGCCCGCCGTGACGACATGGGCAGGCCCAACCGAGAGCGGCAACATAATGCCAGTCTCAATCATCGGGAGCAGAGCAGGGAAAGGTAATAGGATCCGCTCGAATGCTACATGTTTGATGGCAGGTGTTTTATGGTCTCTCCAAACTCCTGAGGCTTATTTCTTCTCAGCCTTGGCATCCTTCGCATCCATGTTCTGAGCCTCCTGAGGTACCCACAGCTGGCCAAACAGTCGTGCACAAAGTCTTGTGGTTGACACATAACTCCCCCATGCCTCGGCATGTCTGGAAGAATAAAACATGGAAGAGTGCTCCTTCGGCTTCGATGCCTCCTTGGCCGGCTTTGGAGCTTCCTTCAGAAGTGGCTCCGAAGTTCGGCGCAAGCAGCACCCAAACCCTATCATGCTTTCCAGTCAGGCCTTGCCGCTCTTGTCGCTTTCTTTCGCCAGGTCCTTCTTCTGATCCTTCTTCTGCTCCTTTCTTGCCTGCACCGCATCCGACATGAATAAATACGTTACAGCCGTAGGCTGCGGCGGTGACCAGATCCAGTCTGGCATCTGCTCACCTCCTTCTCCCTCTTGGTCCGCTTTGGTTCAGGCATGACGCCCAGATTGCTGCTGGATGCCAGTGGCCTGAGCTACAGGCGTCAGCAGGATGTGCAGGTGAGCGTGGTCAAGCAACACTGCAAGTAACAGGACAAAACTCTGAGTATCGTCATGTTTCGTATCTGGGTGGTGCATGAGCATTTGTCTTATGCACGCCCCTGTGCACACCACGCAGCTCCGGTGCTAGCAGTGGGTGGGAAGGCATTTCTGGACAGAGGAAGGAGATATTGCAAATGAACTGCAGCGATCAACATATCCAACAATTTCAAGAACAGTTGTGATTCCACGTTCTCGGACACTCTGCGAACGACACATGTACACGTATACGGGGTGTGCTTCCCAGGCAAATGCACGAAGACGTCAACACGCGCATGTTCTGCTACAGCGGCAGCAGAGCATACTCTTGTGCACTTCGGTATCCGCCTGATATAGGAGCCTTATAATCAGTAGAACAGGGTTGTGGGGTGTGTTCTACTACACTTCCATCCAGGAACCCCAAGGAATCTCTACCACTACCATTACACCTGCTCCAGGCAGCAGGGCCAAGCTCATGAGCTGGGGACTGCACGGAGGGCCCTGCGGAAAGAGCGGTACAGTCAAGGAGTGGGTCGGCCACCTCGCAGAAAACCCAAAGGGTCTAAGTACCCCATATAGCAGCTATTTTGGGCCCCAAAGTATCTACCATATAAGTACTTAGACCCTTTGGGAAACCGAAAAAGGCCTAGTGCACCAGGGCAGTTGGGGTGCAAGACATTTACGACAGGGTAGCAAGACTGGTGTGACATGCATATCACTTGTCGCTACCCAAAAAACTGCGGTGGATAAACGCCAATGCCTTATAAAACCTCTTATAAAACCGTTTTTGTATCTGACAGGGGGCATTTGCAGTCTGAAACACTTGGCATCCCACTTCCGAGGCGACAAAGAACTTTTTTGAGCAGGAACTGCAATGCACTAAGCCCTGAATTCTTCAAAGAACTAGACCTTCAGTTCCCTGGCCAAGACATTGTCAAAATCTTCTTGCAGGTTCAGCTCCCGAACCGCATCTGCAATGCTCAAGGTCATGCATTGTAAGGCCATCTCAAGGTATAGTCGACGGAACCACGCATGATGAGTCGATTTTTGTTTGAGTCACGGGCTAGGGGTGGACGTTGAGTCGATTAAAACTGAAAGCTCTAACCTTGAAGCACAAAAACCTCAAACTCTACAATCCTCCATCCCCCTGGACTCCTATACGACGTGTCTAGAAACCCTGACCAACCTCCTTTAGCCCTGAACCCCGCCTGGGCTCCTCGGCCTTTACATCCTCCCCTGCTGGGTCGCCATCAAGCCCAGGCTCGATGCTGCCGTCACGGCCCAAGTCCTCTTGTAAGTGTTGAACTAAGGGATACCCTAACCCCCCAGTTACCTACTATATAGGGCTCTAGGGGCTCTAGTACCCTATATACTATGTACCTGGGGGTTAGGGATAGTATAGGCTTGCTACAAGGCTTACTGCTTGTATGAGGGTTAGTGTCAGGGTTAGCATAGAGGTTCAGGGTTTCGATTCTTCGGCGCTCACGCTCGGACAATCCAGGCGAGGCATAGATCCGTAGGTCGGCTGCATGAAAGGCAAAGATACCGGCATGGTGAACAGAATCAGAAGGACCCCACATACGCACAGCCTACTAGGAAGGAAATCCGTCATGCTGGCGCGACATGGGGTTCCAGCAAACCATGTTAGCCCAGCTGACCCCCGTGCATAGTTCTTGAATACTCCAGTCGCTCATACCAGAAGTCAGGAATCGGAAAATACCAACAAAAATAGAGTGCGGCATGCCGCAGGAGTCTCACCGACGGACCAAAAAGAATTTTCGGGATCTCGTGAGACCTGTACTGACGTGACTGGTGTGTTTTCTGGGCGAAACTACAGTGTAAAGTTAGCTGCAGTTAGCTGCTTCCACCTGCCATAAAGCGTAAGTGTTTCGGATTTTTAGGGTGCTGGGGCTTACGGCTGTTAGGGTTGCAGTTGGCTGGGGTTCCGCTTCACTGTGTGTGTGTGTGTGTGGGTAGCTCTCTCACTTGGGTCGAGTATGGGCTCCTCGAAGGTGTATATGTCAAACCCGAATCTAGCGAGCTCCCATACATTTGCACATACAAACTAAAATATGTACATACAGACCATGCTGACATAAAACTACATATACATGTGTATGTATGTATGTATGTATGTATGTATGTATGTATGTATGTATGTATGTATGTATGTATACATATATATATATAAACAAAACCTTGAATATATTATATGTGTATACGTGTAAAGATAGACAGATAGATAGATAGATAGATAGATAGATAGATAGAGAAATAGATAGACAGATAAGTAGATAGATAGACAGATAGCTAGGTACAGGAAGACAGACAGACAGACAGACAGACAGACAGATAGATAGATAGATAGATGGGTAGATAGATAGATGGGTAGATAGATAGATAGATAGATAGATAGATAGATAGGTAGATAGATAGATAGATAGATAGATACATAAATAGATAGATAGACAGATAGATAGATAGATAGATAGATAGATACATAGATAGACAGATAACTAGGTATAGACAGACAGATAGATGGGTATATAGATAGATAGATTAATCGATCGATAGCTGGGTAGATAGTGTGGCAATTGCCTTAGATCGTCTCTGACCCGTCCTTCGGCAACTTCGGCTCTAAACTCTGACTCGTGTCAGGCGGCCAATAGGCTTCAAAGAGGCACCTGCGGCTTCGGCGCGCACCAAGCCATAGGACAAGATTTTTGGTAAAAAGAGACAACAAGCCCGTTTGCGAATTACGTAACTACCTGCCTAGAAGGTTTACACCCGCAGAACTCGGTGCAGCAGGTGAGCTTTCTCGGCTCGCAGCTTACAAGGTCTTTTGTCGGCTCTCCAGACTCGAGGGTTTGGGGTTCACGGCTTTCGTGACTTGCAGAAAAACCAGAAGGCTTCGGTCCGAGTCTGTCATGCACTGCATTTTGTACTGTAGCCGGGGGCCTGTCGTCACATAGCACTGTCCAGGATTCTGACTGGGAATCAGTATAGTATACTGCCGGAAGCGGGCACCAACGGATTCTGAAGGCCTGCAAACCTTTCCCCGAGTCGTTTTGAATCTTTTTGGCTGACCTACAGGATTGAACACTTGAAACCCTCACAGGAAAAGCCAGGACCAAGTGCTGCCAAGAAACAGCCGGTCGACCATGCGCTGCCGATTGCCTGTTTCAGTTTCAAAAGAAGTAGCGTGATGCTCGCGGTCTTCGGGTGGGTTCTTCATGGAAGAAGTACCTTATTCTGACTACCCGATGCACGACTCAGGAAAACTCATTTAGGTCCGATTACATATGTATGTGTATATATATATATATGCACACATATACACATATGACATATTCATATGGACATACATACACAAACGGCTATCCCAAGGCTTTATAAGGACCTGGCTTTGTAGGGCACAAATTAGGATCTCTTATTCTCTGACACTCCCAAATCATCCCCGATCAACAGTTGCCGACTCGCGACTAGGCTTGCCTGTCGGGGACTTAGAACACCATGCAGTGCCGGGGCTGCAGAGACTTCAGGAAAAGGAATGAGAATTCGCAGCGAATATCCTGGCAGGTTGTGCAGCCTGCCTCTGTTTGTCAGGAAATGCATTTTTAGTCACATCCGTCATGAAGAATTGCATCCATGTGTGCATGACCGTTGTGCGCCCTGTGTGCACTCCGCTGGACCCGTCACCATCTGAGTCTCAATAACAGTGTTGAACCATGTCCACATAACATCGCAGGATCCCTCTTGCAAGGATCTCCAAAAAGGAGTGCTCTCTGGCTCTCTGCCCCCTTCAGCCGCAAGCTTCGCTCTGCTCTTCCCCACGAGATGTTTAGACTTTCCAGCTGTCTAAAAGCCCATGGCCCTGTGCTCTTTACAAGAATCGCACAGGCCTTTGGTCGACAAGCCTCGCTGTCGGCATGCCCGCCTCAGATTGGGCTGGCCGGCATCATGATGACCAAACTAGTTGACGATTTCTTACAGCTGAAAAGCTGAACACAGGCAGTAGAGGTTCTCCATACTCAGGCGAGACCACCGACTGAGAGTTTTCACACAAGGACAACACGCCAGATCCACACACGAGTGGTCGGGAACCTAGTCTACCGAAGCACTATCGCAGAAGCACCCTTGACCGAGCATATCCTTGTTCTTGAAAGCTCCCGAAGCTTCCTCCTCTGCATTTAAACAAGGCGGCAGCTTGTGCAATGCTTTCAGATGATTATGATTTGGACGGCTTGCTTAGTTACACAGCTGTGTTCTCATTACATGTTCAAAGAATCGCATGTGTATAGAAGGCCGGCATCGGCAAACGAGAAGGAGCACATTGCGAGTGGCGAACGGATCGAAATTTCCGCAGCAATGCATATCAGCACATGTTACTAGTAGCGCACGGCTTTTGTGACTATTCTTGTGATGGGACTGATGCTTGTTCATAACGTTGGTGCGTCCATTTGTTCCTTGAGTCATTCGAACACAACCCTTCACGGCCACCCCAATGCATCAGCCGGGCAACTCAAGTGTTGCAAGGTCCGCCAAGTTCACCCACTGCTGCTGTGCTTGTTGCACGGCCGCGGGAGCAGAGCTGGAGACCTGTTCCCCGGCCGGGTGCGCCTTTCCGCAGAGTGCCGCCTCCAAGGCAGCAGTGAGAATGATCATAGCAACGTAGAATTGGTAATACTAAAGGTAATAGAAATCTCCGCAATCAGGTGAGAGTATGAAGTCACACAGCTGGCCATCTCTTGCAGGTCTCAATATGCCCCCTGATGCATGGCCCAACGCATGGCATGGACCCTCCATCTCCATCGAGCCTCCAGCCCCTTCCTGAGAGAGCAACAGCGCAACGACGAAGACAGTTCTCAAGGCGTGGCCCCGCCCCCCTAAAGACCGAGAGAGTTCTCAATGAATAGCCCCCGAATTTTAGCAATGGCTTCTTTGGCCGAAGACCGGTCATGTCGAGAGCAAACTAGGTCTCGAGCGTGAAGCGAGGTGGAAACAGCGCCCTTAGAGGAACATCTGATCCCAATTCACATCGGATCCTGTGGTTTGCAGTGGTGTACAGCTCTTTTCTCGTGAGCATGCTTTAGAGCCGTAATGTTGCTTCAAAGTTGAGGCTAGTTGCAGATGGCAGCTGCGGTAGCGTTGCTAGTGTTTACCAGCTGTTGCAGTTCCGCTGCAAGAGTGAGGAATCCTAGTATGAGTTGGCTTTGAAAAATCAGCAGTGGCTCTCAAGTGCGTCTTACGTATTCAGATTCGCCGATGCTAACGATATCTTGTCCTGGGAAGCCCTGCCATTCCGTCCAGTTCTCCACGAGCTTGAGCACCTGCACTAGAAAAGGTCTCAGCAGGGCTACATCGACAAGCATCAACGGATCATTCATGTTCAGCCATGAAACATCATGAAACAAGCAAAAACTGACGAAGGCGGATGCCAGTTGTATACAGGCCTTCAGTCTGAGCTCTTTGCCCTGTCGTGCAGTGCACTCGACGCAATGGTAGAGAGGCTGTCGCACACCTCGTCGAGGGTGGGAAGCACGGCAGCAAATTGATATGCCAAGGCCTACTTTCGTGATCTCTCTTGACTGGCACCACATAATTAAGCATCGCACTGGCAGGGGATCCTCACAACCAGGTCGAACTAATATGGGGACCGTGATAGTTAGAATAGGGCTTTGGAGTATATTATACTATTATCATAATAAGGAACCCCCGAAGTAGTATTGGAAATCATTTGGGCCGCTATATTCTATGACTCTGGGCATCATTAAAAATGCCAGAGGAAGGCAAGTCTCAAGTGCAAACTGCGGTGTCATGCGACCGTGCTTGACTACCGAACTTGACGACGAAGCTCAAGCATGCATGTGTGTATATTATACGGTGAAATCCCCGTATAAATATATATATATATATATATATTATATATATATATATATATTATATATGTGGAAAGAGAGACAGATAAAGATACCGATACAAATACGAATAATGCAGATACAGATATACATATGGATGCAGATATAGTATGGAAACGGACATGGATACAGATTTCGATATACATATAGCTACACATATGTACACATGTACAGTACACATATACAAGCAAACATATACACACATGTACACGCAGACACACAAATGAGTGCAATTGAGTGCATGAAGCACAACTAAAGCAACCAGACGAAAGCTGAGCACCCCAGCAGAAGATGCCCCGATTGTTGAGAAAGATCCACATCTATTCGCGGAAAAGTAAGCAACCCCGCAAACGGAAGCAGCTGGCCTCCCGAACTCGCTCTAAAACGTCCTTGGCAGCACTGAATCGGGCAGGCTGGGAGAAAGATATGCAGGGTTTACTTAGGGGCTGATTACCCTAGCCCGGCCCTAGCCCAAAAAAGGTTAAGCTTTTGAATTATAGTAGGATCATATAAGCCATATAAGCCCCAAAAGGTTAAAGGTTACCAACTCAGCCCCTGAGAGTATGCTTCGATTTTCGGGGCTGGAGGGACGAAGCCATGCACCGATTAGGAACCCTTTTTTGCTGCAGGCTTG